CCTGCACGATGGCGGCTTCCAGGAGCAGCTCCCGGTCCAGCTGTTTCAGCGCCCAACGCGGGCCACATGGGGCCTGTCTGACCGGCGGATCCGCGGACTCGGCGGAGACGTTGAACCGGATATACCGGTGGTCGGAGTACGTCTCCACCTCCTCCATGACACGCCAGTCAACGATACGTGGTGACAGAGCAGGGCTGGCGAACGAAATGTCCACCACCGACTCGCCCTGCATCCGCACGCACGTAGGGACAGAACCCCGGTTCAAGACGACTAGGCCTGCCTCAAGGGCCCAGTCTTCCACCATCCTACCCCGGACGTCGGTGAACCGGGAACCCCAAGCCAAATTCTTGGCATTGAAGTCCCCGAGGACGAGCACGGGGAGGGAACGGAACCCGACGACGACTGTGACCAACTCCATCAAGGAGTTGTGGAACTCGGCGAGAGTTCGGTTCGGAGAGAAGTACACGCCCACCACAGCGAGCTCTCCGAACCGTGCTGCGACACAACCCCGGCCTCTTTGAGCTGCCTCAAGAGTCGGGGTACCGGCGGCGGCCGATGAGATGATGGTCACCGAGCCGTCCAGGTCCGCCACCCAGTGATCCCTGGGCGGGACAAAGTACGGCTCGGAGACCACGGCGACATTGATCGACCACTGCGCCATGCTCTGGAGCAGGAGATCCTGAGCAGCGGCGCAGTGGTTAATATTCGCCTGGAGGAGGCGGAATGGAGCCATTATTGACAGTCCATTCCGATCTCCTCAGTAGCGGCAGCGGCGACTGCGGCGGCAGTGGCGGCGGCGGCGGCGGAAACGGCAGGGGTGGCGGAGGGCCTACCTTTGCCCTTGGGTTTGGCAGGAGGGGAGCAGCCCTTGCTCCCGACCCGGTGATTGGCCGGCTTGCCAGCCGCCGCACATGCGTTGCAGTGCAGCGGGGCAGTGCAGGAGCCGGCCCTGTGACCGGGCCGACCGCAGCGGAAGCAACAGTCGCTGCGGTCCACCTCTGAGGTGCATTTGGCGCTCACGTGCTCCCCCACGTGACAACGGTAGCACCTCAGAGGCCGGGTCTCGAGCAGCTTTACCTGCGCCGAGACCCATCCCACCAAGAGCCTTTTGCCCTCCTTCAGCTTCTTGGCCGCTGTGACGGGGCAGCTCACCACCACCGTGCGCAGCCCCGAGTTGTCCGGACGGATGGTGCCCGCCTTGATCTGGTCAGCAGGGCACCCTCCCGTCCTGGCCACAGCGGCCACCACCTCACTTTCCGTGACGGAGTCGTCCAGGCCCAATATCCGGACATCCACACATTTGGTGGGCCTGGACACGCGGGCCTCGTCTGCCCCGAGGCACGCCCTAAGCCTCTCAGCCAGGGCGTCGGCCGACGGGCCACTGGCCGCGCCGGGGACCTCCAGTAGACGGGCTCCGGTAGCGGTCACCTTGACCGCAAACCCGTCCGGGGCCCCGAACTCCGCAGGTGTTACCGCCCCCTTGAGCTTGGCGAGGACGTCACCATAGGTAACGCCCCTATTGACCGCCTCGGGCTGCAGTGTAATAACTACAGCCGCGGTCTTAGGGGCGAGGAGCAAGGCAGCAGCGCGTTTCTCCCTGCGCTGCTGCTGCCGTCGCTGCCGCTGCGCCTTTTTGCGGCGCTTTCGGCCCTCCCTGGCGACTCTCCTCGCCTCGCCGGCGATTTGCCAACCGCCGCCGTCCTCCACTCGCGGGGCGGGTTCCGCCGCCGCTGCTGCAACTCCAGCTTGCCGGGCTGGAGTGTCCCTCCTTTTTTGCGCCTCATGGGCGCAGGCGCCATCGCGCAGCTGGGGTCTGCGCCGGCGGGGGCGCCGAGGGCCTCGCGGGAGGAGGCGCCCGCGCCTTTGCCGGTGGTTGGGGGCCGCGGCCAGCCTGACCAGTGGAGGTCGGAGGCTTGGCCACAGCAGCCGCGTATGAGCCCGATGCCGCGGGCGGGGAGGCCCGGCTCGATGCGAGCGGGGGGGCGCAAAAGCCTGCCCTCAGCACGTCAAAACGTCGCTGGAAGGCAGCCATCTCCGCTCGCAGCAGTCCGACTACGTCGGACTCCGCCGGGGGCTGGGGGTGACTGCCGCGAGCAGCGGCGAGCTCGGCCCTGGCCGTCCGCAGCTCGGCCTCCAGGGCCGCATTGGAGGCCGCCAAGCGCGCCAGCTCCCGCCGCATCTCGCCCAGCTCGGAGCGCACCTTTTCTGCAGTGGGCACCGCGCACTGCTCCAAGGGCTGCCTCCGTAATAGTGGCCACCGCCGCCCTGAGGAGGGAGAGCCTAACCGGCTGGGATTTCCCCATAGCCAGTTTATGGAGCACCTCCGTGATGGCCTGTCGGAGGTGCCCAGAGCCGCTCGCGCTCTCGGAGCCCGACTCGCCCTCCGAAACCTCCACGCCGGACATCTCGGCTGCGGAGGACTCTGAACGGGCAGCGCTCGAGAGAGCCCTGCCCTCCGCAGCCAGCTGCTCGGCTGACTCCACGCAGGCAACTGGTGCCGGTTTCCGGCGACCGCCGCCCTTGCCGCCCCTACCCCGCGCCGCCGTTGGGACTTTAGGGGGAGGCGCCTGCGCGCCGGAGGACGGGGACGAAGCGTCCTCCTCCAGCCTGGGACGCTTAAACGTCCCCGTCACGCGACGGCGTGAGCCCTTCGAGCTCACGCTCAGCCGATCCGCCAGTGATGTGTCGGACTCAGGGTCCGACACCATCGTAATTGATGCCCGTGTGTGGGGCATGCTAGATGTGTCCAGCGTCTCCCCACGGGCGCCAGAGCCCCTTGGGCTCCCCTCTACTACGTCTGCAGGTGAGCCAAGCTCACCCGCACTCTCCTCCTCCGACAGTTGTGGTTTTGTTTTTTTATATTTTACTTTCTCCATACAGTTCCCACGAGTATGGGGGAAATATTCGGTCCACCCAGGCAGTGCCCCCTGTACCTGGGTAAGTGTTCATTTGTTTCCCAACTAGAGGTTCCACTGGTCCCCTAGCTGGGGGTGCGCTCGCGACTGACACTACTCCTCAGCCATGCATACTCTCGCCGCGCACCAGAACTTAGTATTGGAGGAATTTTTTATAGAGGTTATCTTCCTCGCGGTCCGGGCGACCAAGCCAAGACCCTCGTCCCGTTCAGAGTCACAAAACATGACCGTGACCTCCTTACGGGTTACGATATCGACGGCTGCAATCGGGGACAGCTTGTGTCCCGATGCTGCTCGCTGGCAGGGTGAGTGCACAACGAGCACCGCCCTTGCCTCTACGCCACGCTCTCTGCTATGTCCAGAGAGACGGGCCGAGAAACGCCCCTCGGAAGCGCGGGCTATGAGCCTCCGCACACAGCCCGCCGCCTCCAGAACCCTATCGGGTTCGCCCGCCCAGTCCAGAAGTCTGCTGCGGGCGACAGTCACTCCAACCCTATCACCCCCGCTAGGGAGACTGTCGCCCGCACCCAGGGTGCACCACGGGGAGGTCTTCTGGCACCGCACCCCGCAGTCGATGTTTTAGGTTATTTATTCTAAACAGCTGAACTAATTTAAATGAATTGTGGTTAATACATTCAAGTGGATATGCAGGACAACGTCTGTTGGGTCCGCTAGTATTGTATGAAAATATACTTAGGTAAATAAAATAAAAAGGTCCCTAATTGCTCCCCGAGTTTGTCTCTCTCTGTTAGCGGATTATCAAATAGCTATGCAGAGGCCTTAAAACACCCATAAGAGAAGAAAGATAGATTTGACTTAAGTCCCAGAAATGGTTGATTAAACAATTAATTAACTAATTATAAAGCTTATTATAGGAATGATTCATACATCTATTTGTATAGTGTAAAATTAATTTAAGCTTTGATTTATTTAGTTCGTGCAAACAATCGACCTTAAATGAACGGCAGGCCAAGGTTACTAAGTTAGTATTGTATCCGTGCGAATAGTATTTTATAATGAACCTTAGCTTTATTATTTATTTAGCTTGTTACCTAACATTTTTTATGGAATTTATTACTTACTGCCAATGATAATGTGCCGAGAGTAATTAAATTTTTAAAGGTAAATTATCTATTGCTACGTTGGTATTCGTTTGCAGAAAGTAGAGACAATTTTCACAAGTTACATTATATATAAGTAAAAATCTGATTTCTATTTCTGACCCTTAGTAGTGTCTAGATGATGGATGGTGTTCCTACTTCTAGGGACTCTTGCGTATTGAAGAAGCTCGTGAATGATAAGCCGCAGCCGCTGATAGACGTATACCTATAAGATATCTATTAAAATAAGTAGTTTCCATTCCCTTTCTTCTTCTCCTCTTATAATATCTTTTGATTCACTTCGTTGTGGGAACCAAGACAGTTACTCATTTCCCTGGCGCGCCGGACTTCGGCGTTATCATGGTTGTATCTGCTGTAGATCCTGGCTTACAGAAGTTGCAGCGATATTGGGAGGTAGTGGCGGGCTTGTCCATTAAAAAAAAAAGTTTCCATTCCCTTTCTATTTAGGTAATTCACCGGCTCGAGCGTTTGAATATAATAAACTTCCTAGACCATTAATACATCTTGTATTTATAGGCCATATTTTGTTTCAGTTGTTTGTTCGCACATAACCGGTTCGCCCTGGTTATATCGACACAATCAGTTAATTCCAATATCCTTGAATGCAAACTAAGAGAAGGGAAGCGAAGCACGTATTGTGGATTGTGATATCTATTAACTTTTTAATAGGATAACAATGCTAAGTACTTTGAATATGTAATTGTTTGCGTGTATGAATAATCAATTAGGGTAAAAGAGAGCTTTCTCAGTTAGGGTTTTTAGTAGGTCAGAGGGAGTGATTGTAAACGTACTAGCCTATGGTAGTAATAGGCTTATCTCTTTGATGTGTGGGACGTAGGCCTCTTAACTAGGGGTACCTTCAAACTTTATCTATCAGTGCACCAAGAAATTATGTCAGTAGAATTTAGAAATATTATTTAACTTACTAATTCATTTTAAAATTTCAGTTTAATAACTTCTCAAAATGCCGGAATCATCAGTGGTCTTCGGTACAAATGAAAAATGGCGAATAAATCGCAATATCTTGGTGATGGGGTTCGCGTTTATGGTGCATTTCACAGCTTTCCACGGCACTGCCAACCTTCAGAGCTCAGTGAACAGCGACGCAGGCGCAGGAACATTTACCCTGGCAGCGATATATTTCTCACTTATCCTATCTAATATACTACTACCGGCTGTTGTGATCAAGTGAGTTTTATTTTTTTAATATGTGTTATGTCGACGCGTAACAATAAGCTTCTAAATTTCATGTTATTTGCGCCCACATGCATAACTACGTATTATACCGTTCATAGACTCATTTTAGGGGTGGCGTTTTCAAATGTCTTTAAAACATTATTGCTAGTTTCACACAAATTTTTCGACCTACCAAATGCGTTATACCTTTTCTAACGTTTCGTCTACTTTTTCCACAGATGGCTGGGCTGCAAGTGGGCTGTGGCCATATCTTTCATAGCCTACATGCCATTTATAGCCGCACAGTTCTACCCCCGGCTGTACACCCTGGTGCCAGCCGGTATGATGGTGGGGTTCGGTGGCGGACCGCTGTGGTGCGCCAAATGCACGTATCTGTCTGTGGTAAGTTATCTCCTTGTTACAAGGTCAAATATACAACTCTAGCTTTTAATATCCAAATATTCAAACATCACTTAATTTGAAGTCGCGTTTTCGCGAGAAGTATAGTTCAGTCACTACAAACTTTTTGCAAAATGACAGAGATGGCATGATAGCATGTACAATATAAAATTGAGTACCCTTTCAGTATTCGGCCGTAAATCTACTAATAATTATAGTTTGTTAGGATTAGTCGTTGTCAGACTATATTTTTGAATAAAGGTATCTTTTTGCATATATTCCGGTATGTAGGTAAACTATTGCAAATTCATAATTTTTCTTCTGTTAGACCTAGCGTGTAATATGTGTATTGTGTATATAACAGACTGTTTCCAAGAATACTGACGGACGTAAGCTTTTTGTAAACAACGACCTCTACAAAGCAAATGTTAATAAATTGTATCATTCTAATTGTACCAGTATTATAAGCTCACTAAGGAACTAACGAACTAGTTTTATACGACCTAACAGACGTTGTTCAAAGAGGTCACTATAATATAGCAACCAGGCTTTATTCAAAACAGGATTATAAAGAACTAACTACCTTAACTATGAAGGTGCTAAAATGTATGCACACGTACATACATTTTTAAATTCATTATACATATTTCATTACAAAAATAGTACCGTATGTCATATTTTTTTGGTCTGTATAAGACCCGTATACGATAACGCGATTATCATTCATAGGCTTATGTAGATTTTTACATATTAATATATACCTAAGGAAGTAGCTAATGTATTCTTGTATGAATTGGTACGTTTCAAGAATATATATAGCTTCATTTAGTTTTGGACCCTTCAATTGTCTATTGACAAAGTTTGGCATATAAATGATCGCATATTGGGACACCGTGGAGTTACGCATGAAATTAACTTGCGTTAATAGCAGTAACTCATCCTAAAACCTATGTTAATTTAAGTTTTGTAGTTCGTAAGCCGAGGTTATGATATATTGTATTCAAAAATTAAAAGGGTCAAGCCCGGGAAGGTACCGGCATGATTTTCAATTACTTTTCTAACAGTATATGCTTTGCATACTATATATATGGATTACATACATATATGGATTATGAAATAACGTTGTGAAAGATTTTAAAACCCGAGACCTGCTCCTTCAGCTTTTCTCAGTTAGAGGAAATAAGAGAATTGGGTAGTTTCCAGGGTATCAAAATTAAAAATCTAATTAGTCCGTCAGTTAGATAATGAAAAAATATTAGACGTGTATTTTTTTATTTTCTCGTATTAAATTGCAATACTTAGATAAAATGGCGCTAAGTTTAGGAGTGGGAGGTCGCTACGTCATAACGTGCTACAAAATGTGGCACGCTGTTACGTCACACGATATTTCAAATTAATACATCGTCGAAAGTATTAAATTTTGTGAGAAAAGAAAAAATACGTGTCTAAAGTTTTAAATTAATGTACCAGACGGCCATTAAAATAAAATTTAGAAACTACCCTATTGCATACGGCCTCGCAGAAAACCGATGTTAACTCGTCGAGTACCGGTTTTACAGACACAATTAAAGAACAATAGGTCGCGGTCACCGGTGACCGCTTGGTATTTGACAGTTCTCGTCGAGTACCGGTTTTATAGACACAATTGAAGAACAATAGGTCGCGGTCACCGGTGACCGCTTGGTGTTTGACAGTTGTCGAGTACCGGTTTTATAGACACAATTAAAGAACAATAGGTCGCGGTCACCGGTGACCGCTTGGTGTTTGACAGAACAACGCTTGCGTTGTGTGTTCGCCTCTGGTGATTCAGGTGTCCATGGGCGACGCGACACCGATTACTTACCACCATGTGATCCGTCGGCTAGTTTACCGGCTTACCACACAAAAAAATACTTAAATCACGGCTTTGTCCTGCAAAGATAGAACGAAACAGAGAGTCACCTATTATAATACTTAGCTACCTATTTCCTTAACTTCCGTCACAATCATGCTATAATGCATACATTTTTCAATTTCCATCTATTTTCGGGTTTTTAGAAATACCGTTTGCAAAATATTAAGGTCAGTATATGTGTCGAATAATTTTTCCAGGTAGCGGAACCTTACGCCAAGCTGTCAGGGGTGTCAGCTGAAGTGCTAGTGGTGCGGTTCTTTGGACTCTTCTTTATGTTCTACCAGATGGCGCAGATCTGGGGAAACCTGATATCATCTGCTAGTAAGTACTTACATTATAATACCAACAATATATTTAGGACAAATATTAAATGACTGAAATAGCCTTAGCATAAACTCTTCTTAATTTTAATAACTTAACTCGTCGAGTACCGGTTTTATAGACACAATTAAAGAACAATAGGTCGCGGTCACCGGTGACCGCTTGGTGTTTGACAGTTTAATATATTTAATAAACTGTTAATATGTACATAACATATTATAATTTTAGGTAGGTATATTACAATCATTATGTTATATTTTATACATACGTGTACACCAGCCTGTCTCTTGGAAGATGTAGGGTATGAGGTTTTGTTTTGTATGTAAGTATACACACATACACATAATATCACGCCTTTTTATCCCCGAAGGGATAGGCAGAGGTGCACATTATGCCACTGTACAATGTAACACCCACTTTTCACTATTTAGGTATGTTATGAGTCCCATATAATAAGGGGTGAGCCTATTGCCATATACCGGGCACAATTCCAGACTCCGTGCTACTGAGAATTTTTTAAAAACCCAGTAATACTTTGCCCGACCTGGGAATCGAACCCGAGACCCCTTGCCCGGCAGTCGCACTTGCGACCACTCGGCCAACGAGGCAGTCTGTAATATAACTGTATTATATGGTTTTCTGTTGTATAATGTTAAGTATAAGTGCTTATAGAAATAAAATGTGCTACTATAAGAATTATGTTTAGAGCTCCTCTTGCCTGCGATACAGAATCGTCCTAGTGCAGGCAATTGTACGTGACTTGTGAGATCAATTGTACGTACTTAATACAGATTTTTGTATTTTGCATTTTTGAATGGTGAACAAAATATTTATTTACTCTGCACACTGTAAGTCTATGCTAGATGGCGCAAATCATTATTGGAGATATAATTTTCAATCATTCATTAATAAAATGATGTGCCAAGTGGGACGTATCTCCTGCGAACTAATGACGGATGCAGTTTAAAGTTTAATTAAAATCATCATCAGTCATTATGTCTTATATCTAGTCATGCATTTGTATATATGAATACTCAATCAGATGATCCGATACATGGTAACGTGAGAATAATGTATGAAAATAGAAAAACACATAACATATTATTCGACTGCACGCGGTTGGTGCGGTGGCTGGGCAACCGGCTGCCGTGCAACGTGTCGCGGGTTCGATTCCCGCACGGGACAACACTTTGTGTGATCCACAAATTGTTGTTTCGGGTCTGGGTGTCATTGTGTGTGTGAACTTGTATGATTGTAAACGCACCCACGACACAGGAGAAAATCTTAGTGTGGGGCAACGTTTTAAAAAATATAAATATATTATTGACTTAATCGATTTCGAGGTCCATGTAGCAGAAGTATGTACTTGTGGCGTTAATGTTAATGCGTAACATGACATTTTTTATCAAACACCTAAATAAAAACAACTTATTTTTAACAAATTTTTAGAGAATGGGCGATTAAAACTGTTTTTTAGTAACAACAAGGTCGATGACATTGGACATAAACTTATTTACGCATGATTAGCAACAAAAAGCTAAATAAACATTGAATTTACTATAAATACTACAATACAAGGTCGTATAAATTCGGAACATACTTCCTTGCAAAGACAAGTGTTTAGTGAAAGTTACGCTAGATTGCATGATGTCAATGACCTTGAAGGTTCAGTAGTAGATAAATATTACATTACTGATTAATTACTATGTTAAGGGGAGGAAGTAGAGGATATTAGGAAGTATGATTTAGAAGACAGAGGACTGCCTGATTGGTCAAGCTGTTTTGCTATGCCTTGTTCCGTATTTGTTCGTTACACAGCAATCTAAATGTAATTAAGATGACAATAATAATTGCAAAAGATTTCAGTGCTTAACATTAAATAGTGGCCTTAAGTTTAGGTTTAAAGAGGTCTCGAATTTGATGCGTTCAGCGGCTTCTTTTTCCCTCTCCTCCGACTCACGCGCCAATTTTAGGTAAGCAATTAGCGCTATCCAATCCCACTCCTCAATAAAACATACAATGCCACTCACTTGAGAACAACACTAAGAAAATAAATATACATACAGTTTATCATCATGAATCAGGTACAGACTACATAATTATAAACGAACAAATTCACTCATTCAACGCAATAATTTCCCCATAAGTGATTGATTTGCAACTATATACTGGCTAAGATTGGTTTTGAATGCGTAAAAGGAGTGTAGTTTTCGTACACATGACGGAATTTTATTGTAAAGTTGTGCTTCCTCAAAAGTCAGGTCATTACGACCAATGCATAACTGGCTCATCGTTACTGTTATGTGACTTGGCCGTTGAAGGGTACACAGTTGCAAGACACCATGGCACCAATCTGTCACCAGAACTGCTGTTTATTCAATCAAATTTTTCTTAGAGGCAATTTTCCATCTTCAATGGGTAGTGGTTCAACGGCCAAGTCACACAACAGTAACTATAATAATAAAACAATCGCAATACTTTAGACTTAGCACGACTTTATTTAGATTTCATTACTTATTAGAGATGAACAAGCGGCTCCATCGAGACATGGTTAGTTTTTTTACAGAATGTTTTTGGTTGGATGTTAGTTTACTTCACTTCGGTTGCAGTAATCAATACTCAATAAGTTCTTTTTAGTTCAGTATAAACGAATACAACACGACAAACCTTCACATTTAAATCAGAAGGGCTAATACGACGTTTGATTTACAGTGATGGTAGGTAACCCAATGGTTGTTTTACTTTTCAGTTCTATCTTCTAACCTGGGCGATGAGCCAGGACTATGGAATGCCACTTCAAGCCTAGCAGACTTGTTTAATAATGAAACTAGTTCGCCGACTGTAGACTTTGGGTCTACTTGCGGTGTCAACTTCTGCAGTGCCAGTGCATCTCATGTAAGTCTTTAAAAAATAATGTCATTTTTAACCGACTTCAAAAAAGGAACTTCTTAGTATGATCTAGTATGATCTGACAATAAGTGTGGGAGACCCATACTTCGGCATGAATGGGCCGGCTCGACCGGAGTGATACCACGGCCTCACAGAAAACCGACATGAAGCAACGTCGTGTGAGTTTCGTCGTGTGAGTGAGGTTACCGGAGGCCCAATTACCTCCCCTTCCCCAAAATCCCCAATACCTGACTCCTCAACGATCCTCCAACTCCTAATCCCCAAAAGGCCGATAACGCACTTGTAACGCCTCTGGTGTTCCAGGTGTCCATGAGCGACGCCGATTGCTTATCCCATAAAAAAATCTGTATGTATGTATGATAATGTATGTATGAATGTATGCATGTATGTATATTATGTTTGTGCGTGATTATTTCGCGATAGGACAAACCAAATTTGATGCGGTTTTCTGAAAAGTGTTTGTGAGGGTTAGGAGAAGGTTTTAGTAAATTAATTTAGCGACTTCAAAACAAGAGGGGATTGAAATGGGTTTTTTAAACGTTGTTTATAAAAGAATATCACACCTATTACTTAAATAAATATCATAATTATCTCTTGTTCTTCCAGTAGTTATTTTGGTAACGATTTATGTAACTTATTAATTAGGATTCCTGATTTAAAGAATAACTTCTTCACTTAATCGAAGTTCAAGAGATAATGGTTTAGCATCAGGCATAGCAATCATTGCGTGACGATTACATAGACTAGGATCATTGTATATTAGTATTAGTATATGAGCTGGCCTAGTCGGAGGATTCCCCTTATAACATAGAGGAGAAACCATACTCCGATCTGTAATCTAAAATTCGTAACTAGCAGCTATTCTTATACTGCTGCTGCTAGCTTCATTGCAAAAATGGACGTTAATTATATTGCCGTACGTTACCAGGGCAATACAAATCTGCAACCTCCTTCAGAACTGAAGATCCAGGTGATAGCGGGAGTATACCTCGCTTGTATGGCTGCTGCAGTCATACTAGTGGCCTTTGGAGTCGATTCACTTACCAGGTAAACAAGGTTTTTGACTCAGTTAAAGAATTTTATGTGTAGTTGAGGAAGGGCTTACTCCTGTAATTCGACGAGGTAACTCGACTAATTTCAAGTCACGCCAGGGGCTTATAGTCATGACATAGCACAACAAATAACTTGTCGAGCGTCACGCTGCTAATAGGACTATGACCAAGAAAAAAGTATGAGATCCTGCTGGGGTTTATAACTATTATCGATTTGAAAGTCATAATAGAAAAATACATACTTTAGGTTCTTTTGGTTTATAAGCTGACATCATATTTTTTAAATTGGTATTAGGTGTCCACTGTCTCTATACCGCTAGGAAGTAGTAAGAATATTGTAAATAATAATTTATCCATTATGTTAACCATTCTCAGGTATACTGGAGGTCGTAACACAGCGTGTCAGGGCAAGTCTGGAGTACGCCTTTTAGCAGTAACCCTTCGACAGCTGCGACACAAGTACCAACTGCTTCTACTACCAGTTATTGGATATATTGGTGCTGAACAAGCTTTCATGGCCGCTGATTTTACACAGGTTCGTATTTATTAGTTTTTGTGTAATAGTAAGAATGATTAATTTAATTAATGATCCAAAGTATTTATTGTAATTTCTATGTCTGTTCCATTTCCTTTTTTTCTAAAATGCCTGACGATATATATATAGCAATATTACGTTTTGTCCATTGCATAACGAGATTCACAAGGAGTACTGTTGCTTTTATTATTAAAGCTAGGTAGAAACTAATACCTATATAACATAACATCACGCCTTTTTATCCCCGAAGGGGTAGACAGAGGTGCACATTTCGGCACTTAATGCCACTGTACAATGTAACACCCACTTTTCACTATTTATGTTATGAGTCCCATGTAATAGGGGGTGAGCCTATTGCCATATACCGGGCACATTTTTCCAGACTCCGTGCTACTACTGAGATTTTTAAAAACCCAGTAATACTTTGCCCGACCCGGGAATCGAACCCGAGACCCCTTGCCCGGCAGTCGCGCTTGCGACCACTCGGCCAATGAGGCAGTCAATCCTATATGTATGTATTATAACTAAAATAATTAGGTTTTATTTAGTAATGGATCATAATATTTAAATTCTCTGTTAGCCGATCATTGACGGTTATCGTGTGATCGAAAGTAGCAAATAAACGTTTAGTTAATAATAAACTAATGTTTAAAGAACTACTGACAGAAATCTTAGTTATTTGAAAAACAGTGGAACAAAATTAATGCCAGTAATTTACTTGTAATATTTCTAATTTACTGCCTCGTTGGCTGAGTGGTCGCAGGTGCGACTACCGGGCAAGTCGGGGCTCGGGTTCGATTCCCGGGTCGGGCAAAGTAGGTACTACTGGTTTATTTTTTAATTCTTAATAGTAGCACGGAATCTGGAATTGTGCCCGGTATATGGCAATAGGCTCACCCCTTATTACATGGGACTCATAAGTCATAACATGAATAGTGAAAAATGGATGTCACATTGAACAGTGACATTAAGTGTCGTAATGTGCATTTCTGCCTACCCCTTCGGGGTTAAAAGTTGATGTTACAATGTTATATATTTTTAATTCCTCTTGTAAAATGACGTATAAGATATAACAATTTGTCCAGGCGTTCATCGGGTGCGCGTACGGTATCAGTAACATTGGGTACGTGATGATTTGCTTCGGAGTGTTCAACGCGTTGGCTGCACCCGTCGCTGGAGCACTCGTCAAGGTCACCGGCAGGTTCCCAGTTATGGTCACTGCACTGGTAAGTGACACCTAAAATTCTTGATTCATCAATAAAAATATTATAATGTACTTTTACCACCCCCTATTACATGGGACTCATAACATAAATAGTGAAAAGTGGGTGTGACTTCTGTGTGCACCTCTGCCTACCCCTTCGGGGACAAAAAGCGTGATGGTATGTTATGTACTTTTACCAATCCAAGAAATTTTTCATGTGAACATAATATATATTTGTGAAAAGTTTTCACGTAGTACCTAATCAATAATCATAGATAATTAATGATATATGAAGAAATGGTTTAAACCTTTACGCCTCTCTATTGTTTATTTAACAAAATGAGTAGTTGTTGACCAAGTACAAGTTTTCCTTCAAGTATCATGCTAAGTCTAAAGATCTATTTACTTTGGCTAATTTTACGGCACGTACGGAAAACGAGTGTATTCTAAAGACCTAATTTGGCTAGAATATTTTAATAACCGGTCATATTTTTTTTTAAAACATTGCCTAGCACTAGGATTTTCTCCTGTATCGTGGGTGCGATTACAAACATACAAGTTCACATACACATGACACCCAGACCCGAAACTCTATCTCGATCACTTGTGAATTACACAAAGAGTTGTTCCGTGCGGGATTCGAACCCGCGACGGGTTGCCCAGCCACCGCACCAACCATGCAGTCATATACATAGACTTTTATTTATGCATAAAATACCTTTTTTATGGCATAAGCCGGTAAACGAGGAGACGGATCACCTGATGGTAAGCAATTGGCGTCACCCATGGACATCCGAAACACTAAGGCGTTACAAGTGCGTTATCGGCCTTTTGGGAATTGGGAATTTGAGGATTGTGGAGGATTCAGGGATTCGGGAGATTAGGGAGGGGGGTAATTGGGCCTCCGGTAACCTCTCTCACACGACGAAACATCACGCAAGCGTTGTTTCACGTCGGTTTTCTGTGAAGCCGTGGTATCAATCCGGTCGAGCCGGCCCATTCGTGCCGAAGCATGGCTCTCCCACAATTTGTTTTTTTTTTTTTTCTCCCACACTTGCCTAAATGTATGTAATTCAGTAATGTACTGTAATATTCCAGTTACTAAATCTATGTCTGCTCACGTCTCTGCTGTACTGGCGTCCGGAGCCCGAGCAATGGTTGGTGTTCTACGCGCTGGCCGCCATCTGGGGAACTGCTGACGCTGTGTGGCTGGTCCAAGTTAATGGTAGGATTTGTAGCACTTCTAAGATATAAACAACAATCTGAAACGGGCAGGCTCCAGTAATGGGGTAGTTTACTAAATTTTAGTTATTTTAGGTAGTTAACTAATACTGATCGGTCTTTATTCAATTAATATTTGTGTGTGTTTATTTTAGCATTTTCGGGCATCCTATTCCCGGGCAACGAAGAAGCAGCTTACTCCAACTTCCGTCTTTGGGAGGCGACTGGCAGCGTACTGTCATATGCTACTGCACCGTACTTATGTGTCAGGACAAGGTAAGAGGAACATATTTCCCAGCTAACAACGTCTCTATTCTACGTGGTCCATCATTTGTTCATGCACACATAGGCGAAAACCCTTTTGTTTTGAGAGGGGGGTAAATCATTGAATGACTTCCTTGGACCTGGGTTAGGTAAGAGGGAGTGTTATACCCTTAATGACTAAATACTACCCCGTTCCTTTTATCTTGCTTACCGGAATCGAGGCTGCGTTAACTTACGAGGTTGTCCCGAGAGTCATAAAACATATATCCTACTTATACCAAACATAATGATCAATTACGAAGAGATGTCCTATTTCAATCTTTTTGTTAAAGAGTCCTATTTTTTTCAGGTTATATTGTCTCTTAGGGTTCCTTCTAGTCGGTTTCTTAGGCTACAGCATAATAGAGCTGATGGAGTACAAAGTGAAGAAGGCTCATCATCTCGAGAGGAACTTTGAACTTGTTGAGAAGAAACCTGAACAGGAATCGCTAAGGAAACCTTCTGAAGCCGAAGGGGATTACTGAAGATAGACTTATATAGAAAGAAAAGAATATATGAGGAGGATATTATATTGTGAGTTTTTACATGTTTGTTTGTTTGTTTGTGGATTATATGTTATAGTAATCATCTTAGAGTTTCAAATATAATACGATTGCGACTAGAGGTTTGGTCTTCGGCTCAGCATGTCTATTCAGATTTTTGTAAACGTCTATTTTTTTTTTAAATAAAGTAAATTTAGTATCTATGTATCAAAGTATTATTAAGTATCATACCGTCCTCATGATATTTAAATAATCTATAATGGTATATTAATAAGTTTAACAATAGTAGATACTGATAAATAAGTTAGAAAATTACCTAAGAAATCGAATTAATTTAATTAGGTTGTATTAAAATGTATTCTAATTATTACCTTGTTGGAGAAGAGCAGAGGTAAAAAATTATATGATACTCAAGTTTAAAATGTATTATTCTAAACTAAAAATTAAAATAAACAATAAAAAATAAAACAATGAAAAAGTAGTTTCATTAAATTGTCGCTTTTATTTCTCTTCACATAAATACTTAAAGGGTTGGATCGTACTCGACCGGCTAGACAAGCTAAACAATAACTAAGTACAATGTTCGCAGGGAAACTAACAAAGTGACTAAACCCTTGTTATACACAATAATTATACATTAAAAATAACAATAACCGAAGTTATATCGAAGACAAGACGCAAAAACAATAAAAAATCACGATTTTTTTACATTCAACCTTAGTTTTCCGGACTTTTTTGTTGGAGATACCTAGGTGGACTTTTACTTAGCATGTGTATTTGTAGCATTTTTTCCCTCTTATATCTCTTGGATATACAGAGTGTATATATAGTGAAGAAAACGACAATTTAATAGGCTCACAAACCACATGCTAAGTCTTGTGTTACATGTCTATGTATATTAGATCTGTTTACATACAAAATGCCTTTGAAATGGTCCGTAGACTCAATATTATAAACAAGTTTAGCAAAAATATCAAACATTTCCAAACAAACAGGTAGTCGATGAAATTGTTAAATTCGTTCATAATGACAAGTGCACTGTTTTGTAAAAAAGTATTTTAAAACACACAAAAGTACCTAAAGTATCTCCAATAGCCTTTTTAAGATGGTATTTTACTAATGAAAAGCTGTTTAATAGTGATTAACGATGGTACCTCACATGCAATAATACATAACGTACTATTGCCGTATTAAATCTCAACCTCAATGGTTTTTCATTTTGTACGAATTAAACAGCTATTCAGTAATAAAATAGATTACTTTGTAAAGAACTTAACAGGAAGTATATGTAGGTACAAATTTACACGCCCTATGTATAATATCCAGTAAGTCACTGTTTACATTAGTTACTTGATAAAAGCTGTGATCAAATATATAAAGTTCTATTAAAATAATCACTTATTGACAATAATTCGTCAAGTAATCTATGCATAGAAAACTATTTATTATTATGTATTATTATCGTCCAATTTAAAGCGTACAACCGTAATACTTTTCTGAAAGTGTTATGATTATTAAAATAATAATATTGTAATTATATTTTTTATTACTCTAATTAAGGAAGACTGTTCAAGGCACAGTTTATCTACGTACCGAAATAGCACCTTACGATTTTGATGATATGTTGGTCGTTATATGATTATTAAGGTCACTGGTGAGTTTTCTTATTTGGAAATTACAATATTTTGACTTGAAAACATCAGAAAATTTTCCTTTAACTTTACGAAGACAAAACAAGCACCCAGCGCTTTGGTTTTGTCAAACAAATCTGTTCATTTAAAAGAATAATGCTGTTTTATGATTTATAAGATCGTTATTACCAAGTAAGACAAAAATTCAATTTTCATAAACATCACTGGGTATATCTATACTAATCAATAATAATGTTCGAAATTCCAAGTCAAAATATCATTACAAAAGTCTTTGATTATTATATTTTTTCCTGTAACAGGGTAATTAGTATTATTTGATCCACATTCTTACTATACAAGCTGTGTTCACATCCCCAGTAACCCGTTTTACCTACTAAATAAGTATGTCGTTTATTTAACCACTCTATTTTGGCAATTAAGGAGATTACCACAGGAAAACCATGTTTTTTATACAATATCTGTAGGAATTACTATCTAAATCTATTATAAACGACGTCTGTGCTCGCAACTGGTTAAATAATAAAAAAATAAGAAATAATCGAGATTAACTGAAACCCCAGCATTATTTTGGTAAAATTTGATTAAAATGTAATTGAACACGCTGTTCATGAGGAAGAACCCCTCTGTGGTTCGAAACCAGTAGACCTTTTCTCAGTATATTCACGTAAATAACCCGCGATTTTTAGTTAATTTAGTATGTCTCACGATAGTTATTATAAAAATTGTATTCATTGAATACAGACGAAATACTAGTATTTTAACGATTTATTAAAAAAATGATCATCTCCAGTACCAGTTACGTCACAATATCTGCGAGCAGTCGTTACATATTTACACATCTCTCCATATTACAGAAAAACAATAATTACAAGGAAATATTATGCTCACTGTGAAGTTAAGTCCTCTATACAACTAACTAAACAATTAACTACAATGTATTTAATTGTAGATCGGTATTACTGAGCTTTCTTCAGGTGTGGTGACAATAAATGCTATCGTAAATCCACGTATATATAACTATACAACTATACAACTACTGTATTTATATACAAACCGTTTATATCTTTGTGACCCTGTAGACATGTAGCCTCGATTCTTTAAGCAATATTTCTTTACAAAACGGCCATTATATACACAAAATATTTAAGTTAAACAGGGTCTTAGCACCGAAGTAATTTCGTTATTAGAAAACATTTTTGTATGTAAGTTTTAATTCGGGGCGATGACAAAATTCTTAAAGTGACCCCATATTTTATATATTTCGATAATGAATTAACATACAAAAATATTTCTTACGCAAGTATTACATTTAAAACATTTGGACGGCAACTCGTTTATTATATACAAAACAAAAATCTTACATAACTAAAAGTAATAACTAAAGCGTCTTATAGTAACTAAATGCAAAATCTATGAACAAGAAGACTGTACGAATGCAGGCAGATGACTATAATTAAACTAGTATTATTATGATTGTTAAAAATGATTCGAAATCTGTCAAATGAAATCAGGACCCAAATACTTCAACGGCCTTAGAAATGGTTTCAGACGTCAACGTCTTAGTTAATGTATCATAAATACAGCTCTTTATTTCCACAGAAAATAAACAAAGTAGTACAACATGAAACATACTGTATAGGGTGGAATTAATAAGAGAAGAATCTTGTATTTTCTATGTGAACAAAAAGCGGTTGTGCAGGAACGATATGCGTTAAAAATACTAGGTACTTTCGAAGTGACCCTAACTGGGGCTGGTCGTGTTGCTCCGGGGCTCCGACTTGAGCGCAGCGCCATTTATCCTGGGCGCTATAGCTAGGGTGTTGGTCGCTGCCTGACACTGCGCGCAGGGCTCCAGCCGCCTCGCCAGCACAGCCCGCAGTTTGAGAGCCGGCCCTAACTTCATCTGTAGCATCCCTGTTAGGTGATCTTCTGTGAGAAGAGGGAGACCAGCTCCGTCGATTCTTTGTTCACGGAAATTCTGTAAAAGAAAAAGAACGATTGTGTTATTTTCTACTCAAATTTTATAGTAAAAAGAAATTCAACATTAATTTGATTGACAGATGTTTCGTAGAACTTTATACGTGAAAATCAAAAACAATCAGATATTTCAAAAATGTTTTTCTTCATAAACAAAACATTTCAGACATTTCAATTTAATTATAATTAAAACTAATAAAACATAGTAAGTAACAAATGTCTAAAGTATTAACTTATGAAATTGTGAAGTTGTAATTCAAATAATTTTGGAGATTACAAGGTTTTACAGTACATTAGACATCAACGCGCTGCGGTAAAAGTGCACCTGTCTCCCACAATCTCAGCTTCGTATGGCCGACTACGGAAGTTCTTGATACTTGATTTTTTAAATTTATATGCCAATAATAATAAATAAGAACGATATTGTAAAACAAACTATCATTGTATAAATAAAAGTTACTGCGTGTTAACTTTAATTACACGACAGAACTGTGTCAAGTCATATTAAATCTGCATTGTTGTGTGCCACCTTATTACTCTAATTATAATACAGACGTGCATATATATATTTCATCATAGGCTTTTACCTCTGTTACACAGCCGGATATACGCAATTAATATCGAATGTAGCTACCAGTTGGGAGGCATTCACTATTTAAATTACTTTATGATAGATTTCAGATGGGTCTATTGTGTTAAATGAAAAGCATCAAGACGATTTGCGGGCAGGTCGCGGGCGGCGCGTCCAGCGACCTGTCATCTCCGCGGGAACGTTGACAAAAACCGCGCCGCCTACGTGACGTCCTGTGCTCCCCCTCTCCCCGCCCGCGCCGCGGCCCGTTCTCCTCTCGTCGCACCGCTCGACCACTTTTTACAGCGCGACATTTGCCCGGAGTTCGATCCGTGTCATCCGACTTATTTCTTTTTTAAATTGCGCCGACGTTCGATTATCTTATTTTTTAATTTTATAAGGCTTCGACCGGCCGTCGAGCGGTAAAAAGCGATAGCGTATAAAAAGTCTATGAATAATTAAAGTGAGATAGCTACTGGCTAGATGATGGGAACGTAGCGGCGACAGGTCGGCGCGGCTCGGCTGAGGGACAGGTCAATTTGCGGCGCTCGTTTTGTTCCTTTTGAGATTGCCATTAGCGTTATCCAGGGCTTGGGAGCAAATTTACTTTTATGCAAATGTGGAGCCATTCGCCGCTGAGCGAGATTAGAAAACTTCTCGTTCTAATATAATGAAATTAAATAAAGTGGAACGAAAGAGCGGCCTGTTTGGACGGCGCAAGTGGTTTGGGGGCATGTTTATGTTTAATGGGGTTTATGGAGCCACGGAATCGGACCGGGACC